GTGTCTGCACTGGGAACGGGATAGAGTCAGGATAGTGGGAGCAGGACTGTCTGCACTGGGAACGGGATAGAATCAGGATAGTGGGAGCAGGACAGTGTCTGCACTGGGAATCGGATAGAGTCTGGATTTGGAACAAAAACAGAAGTTGCTGGAAAAGCTCAGTAGGTCTGGCAGCATCTGTGTAGAAAATATCAGAATTAACGTTTCGGTTCCGGTGACCCTTCCTCAGAACTGGATCAGTCTGGATTTGGTTGGGTATAGAGCCTGTACTGGGAACAGGATAGAGTCTGGATTTGGATGGGTATAGAATCTGGGCTGATTGAGTCTGGACTAGTTCTGGGATACAATCTGGATTGCAACTGAAAATAGAGTTTGGACCAGGATCAGGGTAGAATCTATACTAGGAGTGGGATAAAGTCTGCACAGGGATAGAATCTGAACTGGGAGCAGGATAGATTTTCATTGAGACTGGGATTGGTTCTGGGGTAGAGTCGGGATTGGTTTTGCGATAATATCTGGACTGAGATCAGAAGCTGGAATATAGGGTCGGCGCTAAGGCGCGAAAGGAACTGGGAACAGAATAGTGACTGTGACAGAAACTAGAGGTGGATCCACGGTAAGACTGGGGCTTTAACTGGAATTTGTGCTAGAGCTGGTATCAGCCTGCTGCAGGATTGTTAGGTGAGTTTGGAGGCCCTGTGTGCAGAATGATCAGGAACGTTTGGAGAGACCCTGTGCAGGAGGCGCCACTCACTCCCAGGCCCCACCTTAATGCAGAGGAGCAGAAAACTGCCTCTCCAGAGGATGTGTTACCCTGTTCAGCGGGTCAGCAGGATATGCCCCAGCTCGAAAAGCTGCAGCAGCAGCCAGGCGTGGAGTGTATGGTTTGTGGGGACAAATCCAGTGGCAAACACTATGGACAATTCACCTGTGAAGGCTGCAAGAGCTTCTTCAAGAGGAGCATCCGTAGGAATCTGAGCTACAGCTGCAGGGGTAGCAGGAACTGTCCTGTTGACCAGCATCACCGCAACCAGTGTCAGCATTGCCGCTTCAAGAAGTGTCTGAAAGTTGGCATGAGACGAGAAGGTATATCTTCCTGGACAGGGATGGATGGGAGGAGAGAGCTGTTATCTGGGGGAAACTTTAATACTACAGTTAGTCTTTAATCTGCGCCATTTAGGATCATAGAGATGGACAGCATGGAAACAGACCCTTCGGTCCAACTCGTCCATGCCGACCAGATATCCCAAACTAATCTAACCCCATTTACCAGCATTTGGCCCATATCCCACTAAACCCTTCCCATTCATTTACCCATCCAGATGCCTTTTAAATGTTGGAATTGTGCCAGCCCCCACCACTTCCTCTGACTGTTCATTCCCCTATATGCACCACTCTCTGTGTCAAAAACTTGCCCCTTAGGTCTCTTTAAAATCTTGCCCCTCTCACCTTAACCCTATGCTCTCTAGTTTTGGAATCCCCTACCCTGGGAAAAAGGCCTTGACTATTCACCCTATCCATGCCCCTCATGATTTTATAAACTTCTATAAGGTCACCCCTCAGCCTCTGATGCTCCAGGGAAAATAGCCCCAGCCTATTTAGCCTCTGGCTTTGGCTCAAACCCATTGCTGATTCTTGCCTGTATTTTGCAGAACTGTCACAGTGCAGAAGGAGGCCATTCAGCCCACCATGTCTGCACTGGCCTCCTGAACAAGCAACTCAGCCAACCTTACCTCAGCTGTGCCTTCTTTTCTCGAGGAAAACAGCCTAACTTTTCAAATTTATCTTCCAAACTGAAGTTTCATATCCATGGATTCATTCTTATGAAAATTTTTTTCTGCACCCTCTTCACTACCAGGTTTCTGGTCTGTGTCCTTAACCTCATTTATTTCTCATTTTATTCTCATCCATTGTCTGTATTTTCATTTTGTTCTTTCTCCGTCTATTTTCTCTGCCCTCATTATCTCTATCGCTTTATGTTCTCATTCTCCCACTCTTTGCTAACTTCTCAATGACCTACTTTCCTCTCTACATCTCATTTTGCACTCATTCTGTCTCCATTTCTCTGCCAGTTTTCAGTTTTCTCTAATATTGCTCCCTTTCCTAATACTTCTGTACTGCTCCTTCATTTTGTCCATCACTGATTATCACACTGAAGTAGCCAGAACTGATAAACTGCAAAATTGAAATCACTTTTAATAGAATGACATCAGTGACAGATCCTGCAGCAGTAAATTTGTTGTGGGGATTTCTTAAAACATTTTTAGCCCTGTGTTTTGTTAATAATGTTGATGAATTTCTGAATTTGTTTCTGATTTTCTTGGTTTGTGTTAAAAGTTTATAGCGCAGGAGTCCATTTGACCCATCAAGTTAGTCCTAGAGCAGTTCAAATTTAATCACACTGCCCTGCTATTTCCTCATAGCTCAGAATCTTCCTCTATGTCAAATATTTAATAAAGTATTCTTTAAAATCAGCAATGTGCCCCTGGTAATACATTACTGTAAAGATTTTTTTGCAAATCCATCTCCTTATTCTCTCAGGGCAGTTTTACATCAGTGATCTTCCCTTGTCCTTGACTCCACAACCAGAGAAAATAGTTTCCAGCTATTCATTCTATAATAAGTATTTATTAATTATGAAAATTATTTAAACTTTCTATGATCCAATGTGAATAGACCCAGTCTCTGCAGCTCTCAGCCTTCTGTCATTGTCATTATCCTGGTGTATCTACACTGAATAAGTGGTTTTAGTTGCTCTTCTGTAATGGAACACAACTCTATATGTGACCTAAATTAGTGTTTTGTACAAAATTGCCATTTATTCTTTACTGTGGCATGCCTCTATATATATAAAACTCAACAGTCTATTGATTTTTATGACCATCCATCTGAACTTCCATTTAGGAAATTCAGTCTAATTTTTGTCCTTGCTCATGTTGTTCCTTCTCCTTTTCTGTCTTCTTGAGTCTTGCTCGTTCTTTTTCTCTTACGTTTTTCTAATTTCCCATTTTGGTTGATTTCATGTCAACCTCAGACTAGCTGCAAAATGCAGATCAAGGGAACTTGCGCTGGATTCTGATTAACGTAAACAAATTATTCACTTTGTGTTTAATTGCATTCCAGTGATCAGCACTGTCAATCTATTCAATGTCCTTATGTTCCAGATTTGCCGTTACATTTTCTTTGAATATTGCTGTGGTTCAGGCATCTTGCACTGTCCTGGATGAGAGTTTGATTTGTGCAATTACTGCATTCATTTATCCAGTTAGAATCCAGTTGATTTGTACTAAGCCTTGTAGTTATGTTTCTGATTGTCACAAGCCATCATTGATCTTCCACCTCTTTAGAAGGCAGTAGAATAAATACCTCATTAAGCTACATGTTAGACTGTAAACTGCCAAGATTTATAAATCACTTGTTGGCTAAGTAGCAATTTAGAATCATAGAATCACTACAGTGTGGAAACAGGCCATTTGACCTATCGAGTCCACACTGACCCCCTGAAGAACCCATCTCTATAACCCTGCATTTCCCATGGCTAATCCACCTAGCCTGCATATTCCTGGACACTACAGGCAATTTAAGCATGGCCGATCCACCTAACCTGCACATCTTTGGACTGTGGGAGGAAATCAGAGCACCCAGAGGAAACCCATTCAGAGACAAGGAGAATGTGAAAACTCTGCCTGAGGGTGGAATCGAACCCAGGTCCCTGGCGCTGTGAGGCAGCAGTGCTAACCACTGAGCCACCTCAATTATGCATATTATATTTACAGGACTTCTAAACATTATTAACTCCCTAGGGAGAATAGTTACTGTTTTGCTTGTTGGGATACAATGTGAACGTAACTGGACACAGAGCCCCTCAGTACTAACCTCTACGCAGTGCAGTGTTACTGATCACATACTCTGGCTGATTTCAGTCCAAGTGCAAATAAGGCCAGATGACATGTAATTCTTTATAAAAATGCATGATTTGGATGAAGAAAATATAGTTATAGATTCATTAACTTCATAAACAACAGCCAGTTAAAAATATACGCTAAACCCTAAACTCGCAAGGTGCTTGTATTTGAATAGGCTGCTTCAGATCCTCCCGTAGTCAAATGGACCATTATCTGTAGGTTTGATTTTGCTTTGTAACCCCCTTATGCATTCATATGAAGTGAAGAAACATTGTGCTTTAAGAAAATAATTTATTTTGGTAACCAGGAAATTTGTATAATTTGCAACTTTCAAACTTGAAGGAACCACAATGTCTCAGTTCAGTTATAAAAGAACTGAAGTGACACCTACTGGAAACTCTTCCCTCGTCAGGCAGTCATAAATTTGAACTTACTCTCGCCTTCCCAGATTCTACCTCCTTTAGAAATGTCGGTACCTATCTCTGAATCACACCTTCTCATTTTACCTCCTACTCACCTAAGTCACTGGACTTCAATGCCCTTCAATGGCTGCAGAGCACTAGATGAAACAAAGACAGTTTTGCATTTATTTAACACCATTCACATCCTCAGATGCCCCAAGGCACTTTAGAGGTGATGCAGTACAATGGAGGTGTGGACACTGTTGCAATTTATGCACAGCAAGCTCCCGTAAATATTGTTAGGACCTGATGATTTGACCTTTGTTGATGTTGCTTGCAAGAGTATTGTTGGCCCAGGACACCGGAGAGAAATCCCTTATTCTTCTTCAAAATGGGATCTTATATCTTAACTAAGAGAACAGACAGGACCTCAGATTCACATCTCATCTGAAAGACAGTTCCTTCCAACAGTCCAGCATTTCCATAGCACTGACCCGCCCGATAGTGCAGCACTCACTCAATACTGACCCTGCCATTTCAGCACTGACCCTCTGACAGTGCAGCACTCCCTCAGCACTGACCCTCTGACAGTGCAGCACTCCCTCAGCTCGACCCTCTGACAGTGCAGCAGTCCCTAAGCACTGATCTTCCAACAGTGCAGCATTCCCTCAGCTCGACTCTCTGACATTGCAGCACTCCCTCAGCACTGACCCTCTGACAGTGCAGCACTCCCTCAGTTCAACCCTCTGACATTGCAGCCGTCCCTAAGCACTGACCTTCCAACAGTGCAGCACTCCCTCAGCTCGACCCTCTGACAGTGCAGCACTCCCAATACTGACCTCCAACAGTGCAACACTCCCTCAGCTCGACCCTCTGACATTGCAGCAGTCCCTAAGCACTGACCCTCTGACAGTGCAGCACTCCTTCAGCACTGACCCTCTGACAGTGCAGCACTCCCAACACTGACCTCCAACAGTGCAACACTCCCTCAGCTCGACCCTCTGACATTGCAGCAGTCCTGCAGCGCCAACATTCTGACAGTGCAGCACTGCCTCAGCCTGACACTCTGATAGTGCAGCACATCCTCAGTCCTGACCCTCCAACAATACAGCACATCCTCAGTCCAGACCCTCCGACAATGTGACACTTTTACTCACTCTCCAACAGTGCAGTGTTCCATATTGCATTGTGTTGTGAGGCTGCAGCTTTAAGCTCATATTTCTGGAGTAGGCCATGAATGCACTGTTCTGACTCAGAGATGTAGGATGTGTTATCTACTGGGCCCTAAGTGACAGTTTGTTCAGTGTGTTATCTGTGTCCTGTCACTACCAATAATGTATATTTATTAGTGTTATTTCTATTGCAGCAGTTCAGAGAGGCAGACTGGCTCACACTCAGTCCAATCATGGACAGTACAGCCTCAACAATGGCGATGGCTTCACCAGCCCTTCTTACCTCTCCGGCTTTATCTCATTGCTGCAGCGGGCGGAACCCTACGCAATGTCTCGCTATGGCAGCCAGTGCATGCAGCCCAGCAGCATGATGGGCATTGAGAACATCTGCGAGTTTGCGGCTCGCCTCCTTTTCAGTGCTGTGGAGTGGGCCAGGAATATCCCCTTCTTCCCCGATCTCCAGATCTCGGACCAGGTGGGGCTTCTGCGACTGACCTGGAGCGAACTGTTTGTGCTGAACGCGGCACAATGCTCTATGCCACTGCATGTGGCCCCTCTATTGGCTGCCGCTGGCCTCCATGCCTCCCCGATGTCGGCAGAGCGTGTTGTGGCATTCATGGATCACATTCGGATCTTCCAGGAGCAAGTGGAGAAGCTGAAGCTGCTACATATGGACTCAGCGGAGTATTCCTGCCTGAAAGCAATTGTCCTTTTCACCTCAGGTCAGTGTGATCTGTGTCAGATCTGTGTGCAGTGTTGGGCAACCCACTTTATAATCAGGTCACCATTATGAAAGAGTGAATCATGAAAGATCATTTCTGCAGCTCAGTGAAAGATCAGATATGACTCAGAGTCATCACCAGGAGCAAACTGTAGGAAGTTAGGTGAAACTTCCATGCAGTCCATTTTCATTGGTGCTTAACTGAACATGAGTCAGGCCTTGTAAATGACAGTGACGTTCTCAATCTCCCGTCACGTTACACATGAGGACTGAAGTATTATATTCAGGTGAAGTCGAGTCAGATAGCAGTGCAACTCGAACCTGAATATTTTGATACACTTTAAAGTCATAATGCTTAGGTATTTCCATTATACTTTAATATTTATAATGGAGATTGTGTAAGCAAACATGTCACACTGTAATTACACCATCTGGTCAGCAATGGTGCAGTCAGGAGAGTGTGATTACACTGACGCATGTTTAAATGTGGAGACAATCAGAATTCAGAATGGAATAAACAGACTAAGAATGAACACTACCTCGTTCTTAATATTCCCCTCCAAACGAATGTGTGTAGTGTGTGCAGACGGTGTGCATTCAAATGCACGTATGTGTGTGCTGTGTGCATGTACATGTATGTGTTTGTACTGTGTGTGTGCGTGCCTATTCTGTGCACATGCAAATGTACATGTGTGTATATTCTGCACGAGCGTTCTGTGTGCGTACATATATGTGTGTATACGCACATGCACATGTTGTGAGTGTGTGTGTGTGTGTGAGAGAGACAGACAGACAGAGGAAGAGACCTTACTCAGTATTAATGAAGTACTGTTTAAATACAGGGGATTGAAATGAGGAAAGGGACCCATGATTCCACTTACAGACAATGATTCTGCAAGTTAGTTCTTGATATCACACATTGACATACTTAGCAGAATACTTTGTAAGGGATTTATTTGAAAAAGTGATGAAAATCTGCTGTTATGTTTATAGAATTTACTCAGTCGGTTTGGGAAGTTACGTCAAGATCAAGGGGATTAGTGTCTTTAGGTGTTTTATTAAAATGACGCGACAGATGATTCAGATTTATTTTGGTTGAATACTGACTTAATAGCTGATGAAAATAGAAATAAGTCAAATCTAATCAGAGTTTACGTTGTGTTAAATCTCCATGCCAGCTGTTGGTGAGAGCCTGGAACAATAGAAGCTGTGGTTTTCGAACTAGCGTCAGTAATATCAGACAATACAGCCTGTATTTAACATCATTTTTCCCAGCTCTGTCAATTACAAGAACAAAAATTCCAATGGATTGCCCTTATAGTACTTTACAAAGAAACCTAGGGAACGGATCAGGATTTACAATAGTTCCTGGAAATATGGCGGTATTGACAGAGGATTCCTGGGAGTAGATCAGTACAGACAGGAGTCCCCAGGAGTGGAACAATATGGACAGGGGGTCCCTGGTGCAGTTTAGGATCGATAAGGATGCCCTGTGGTGAGGGTCAGTATAGACAGGGGCTCCTTGGAGTAGGTCAATGTAGACAAGCAGTCCCTCACAATAGATCAGTATCAGAACCTCGTGAGTGGGTCATCTTAGACAGGGTGTCTCTGGGGGTTGTTCAGTATTGATGGGTGGTCCCAAGGAATGGGACAATTTTTTTCAAGACATCCATGGGAATAGGTCAACATTGGCTGTGGGACCATGGGAGTGGGTCAGTGTTAATAAGATGTCCCTGGGAGTAAGACAGTATAGGCAGATGTTGCTGGGATGTGGGCCAATATTGAGAAGGGTACCCTGTGAGTGAGTGTATATTGAAAGATACTCTGTATTTGGTTCAGTCTTTATAGGAGTCACCCAGGAATCAGTCAGTAGTTATAACGATTACACAGGGGTGGCTCATGGGAGAGAATTAGGGTCACCACGGGAGTGGTTCAGTATGGACATATACCTGTGGCAGTGAATCAGCATTTATGGTGCTCTTTAGAGTGGGTCATTATTTGTAGGGGGTTACCTAGGATTGGTCATTATAAGACACACTGAGAAGTGGGTCAGTATTCATAGGTGGTTCTCAGGGATGCGTCAATATTAATAAGAAGTGCAAGGGAGTGGCTCATTATTTATAGAGGGTATTCTGGCGAGGGTCAGTATTTATAAAGGGTACCAGGGAGTGGGTCAGTTTTTATAGGGTGTACCCGGGAATGGGTCAGTATTTATAGGGTGTACCCAAGGGTGGGTCAGTATTTACAGGGTATACCCGGGAATGGGTCAGTATTTATAGGGTGTACCCGGGACTGGGTCAGTGTTTATAGGGTGTACCTGGGACTGGGTCAGTATTTATAGGGTGTACCTAGGAGTGGGTGAGAATTTATAGGGTGTACCCGGGTGTGGGTCAGTATTTATCAGGTGTACATAGGAGTGGGTGAGTATTTATAGGGTGTACCCAGGTGTGGGTCAGTATTTATAGGGTATACCGGGGACTGGGTCAGTATTTATAGGGTGTAACTAGGAGTGTGTGAGTATTTATAGGGTGTACCTGGGACTGGGTCAGTATTTATAGGGTGTACCTGGAACTGGGTCAGTATTTATAGGGTGTATCCGGGATGGGTCTGTATTTATAGCGTATACCCGGGAGTGGGTCAGTATTTATGGGGTGTACCCTGAACTGGGTCAGTATTTATAGGGTGTACCCGGGAGTGGGTCAGTATTTATAGGGTGTACCCGGGACTGGGCGAGTATTTATAGGGTGTACCCGGGACTGGGTCAGTGGTTATAGGGTGTACCCGGGACTGGGTCAGTGGTTATAGGGTGTACCCAGGACTGGGTCAGTATTTATCGGGTGTACCCGGGACTGGGTCAGTGGTTATAGGGTGTACCCGGGACTGGGTCAGTGGTTATAGGGTGCACCTGGGACTGGGTCAGTATTTATCGGGTGTACCCGGGAATGTGTCGGTATTTATAGGGTGTACCCGGGAGTGGATCAGAACTTATAGGGTGTACCCGGGACTGGGTCAGTATTTATAGGGTGTACCCGGGTATGGGTCAGAATTTATAGGGTGTACCCTGGAATGGGTCAGTATTTATATCGTGTACCAAGGCGTGGGTGAGTATTTATAGGGTGTACCCCGAATGGGTCAGTATTTATAGGGTGTACCCGGAAATGGGTCAGTGGTGATGGGGTGTAGCCGGGACTGAGTGTGTATTTATAGGGTGTACACGGGAGTGGGTCAGTGTTTATAGGGTGTACCCTGGGACTGGGTCAGTGTTTATAGGGTGTACCCAGGAGTGGGTCAGTATTTATAGGGTGTACCTAGGAGTGGGTGAGTATTTATAGGGTGTACCCGGAATGGGTCAGTATTTATAGGGTGTACCCAAGTGTGGGTCAGTGTTTATAGGGTGTACCTGGGAGTGGGTCAGTATTTATAGCGTGTACCTAGGAGTGGGTGAATATTTATAGGGTGTACCCGGGAGTGGGTCAGTATTTATAGGGTGTACCCAGTGTGGGTCAGTGTTTATAGGGTGTACCCAGGAGTGGGTCAGTATTTATAGGGTGTACCCAAGTGTGGGTCAGTATTTATAGGGTGTACCTCGGAATGGGTCAGTATTTATAGGGTGTGCCTAGGCGTGGGTCAGTATTTATAGGGTGTACTCGGGACTGGGTCAGTGTTTATAGGGTGTACCCGGGAATGGGTCAGTATTTATAGGGTGTACCCGGGACTGGGTCAGTGTTTATAGGGTGCACCTAGGACTGGGTCAGTATTTATAGGGTCTACCCGGGAATGGGTCAGTATTTATAGAGTGTACCTGGAAATGGGTCAGTGGTTATAGGGTGTACCTGGGAATGGGTGTGTATTTATAGGGTTGACACGGGAGTGGGTCAGTGTTTATAGGGTGTATCTGGGAGTGGGTCAGTGTTTATAGGGTGTATCCGGGACTGGGTCAGTGTACCCTGGACTGGGTGTGTATTTATAGGGTGTACACAGGAGTGGTTCAGTGTTTATATAGGGATGCCCCGGATTGGGTTAGTATTTATAAGACGACCTCAGGACTGGGTCGGTACAGACGCAGTCCTTAGGCAAAGGTCAATATTGGGTTTCAGTAATTGCCCTGTTTTTTTTATTGGGGATCCTCAGGTGTGGATTAGCATTTACAGCAAGTCCCCTGGAATATGTTTAATGAATTCCACTTTTTACACAGTAGGCAAAGTAATGTATTAGAAAGTCGTTTAGGATTCCTGTCAGGAATTCAGAGTTGTTTTAAGGTCAGTGATCATTATAATGTAGTGGTGGATTTTATTTATCCAGTGACCCAGTTCTTTCTGTGCTGATCCAGCTCATGTGATGTTTTGGTGAATTTGCTAATATGTTGAAGAATGAAGTATTATTTAAAGGTGTGATGTGGAGTTGTTTATCAGAACCTCAGTCTCTGAATCTGGACAGTGGTTTGAAATAATATTTTCCCTTTCCATCGACCTAAATTGCGTCGATGTTCGAATCAAATGTGAAATCTATTATGTTTCAAAAAAGTCAGTTTTTTATTTCACATTAAAAATATTCCCCTTTGTCATCAGGATTCGAAATGAGCCACATTCTGGTTCTGCACAATTACTGAACTGTTAACAATATGTATTAAAAGCATCTGTAGCAATATGGATACAAAACTGGTTGGGTGACTGCAAGCAGAGAGTAACGATCAATGGTTGTTTATCAGGCTGCAGACGGTTTATAGTTGTGTACCCCAGGGGTCAAAGCTAGGACTCCTGCTCTTCCTGATATATATCACTGATATAGACTTCAGCGTACAGATCACAATTTCAAAATTTGTGGTTGCTTCGAAATTTGTAATTATTTTGAACTGTGAGGAGGATAGTGTTGATCTTCAAAAGGACACAGTCAAGCTGGTGAAATGGACAGACAAATGTAAGACGAAATTTAATGCAGAGAAGTGTAAAGTGTTTAATTTAGGAAGGAAGATCACAGACGATATAAAATCAATGGTACAGT